CGATGGCAGCGCTGGAGCCGGGGCACACGCAGCCCCGGGGCACAGATTGTCCCTGGGCAGGAGGGTGGCTGCAGGGACAACCCAGCCTAGCGGGCCAGGGTCTCTCCAGGCTTTTGGGGCAGCCTAAGCTGGGGTCTGTCCTCCGAGGATACTGCCTCGGTGCTCGGGTTGCCACCAGTGCTCCACGAAGGAAGAACCAATTTTTAATCTGCGCAGCAAGTCGTTCAACCAGCCCCGCGCGCAGCTCTCGGCCCCATCAGCCGGCTGCAGCGATGGCATCTTGGTGCCCGCCCGTGGGAGCCCTTGCTACAAACCCTGGCACCGAGCCCTGCTGGGGCCCATTTGGGGTGACTGGATTTAGTCCATTTACTGTACGGGACGGAGGCGCCCAGCAGCGCCACGCTTGTAACGGCCCTGCCGGCTCTGCTCCCGCCTCCAGCCCCTGGTGCACGGCCAAATTCAGGTTTGTTTTGGCAGCCCGGACACATCCCCGCCACGGGCTGGAACAGGGAAATCTGGGCGTGGGGACTGGCCAAGGTGACTGGGAGTTTGGGGGGGATTTCTGGTTTTCATCCCAAAAGAGCGGGGAGCTGAACGCGGCAGTACCCAGAGCAGCGGGCGAAGCGCGGTGCTGTCGGAGCTGCCTGGGCAGGAGGGAGCAGACGGGCACTGGGTGGTGGGGTCCGTGGTACCCCCCGCTACCCGGCTCTCCTTGGGGGGCACCACGGCACCCAGTGCTGCTCCAGCCCAGCAAAGCTGGGACCCCCTGGCCCGTGCTCGGGCAGAGCCCGGGGAGCAGGGGCACAGCCGGGAGGGGCTGGGGGGGACACGCAGCCCCCAGCCATGCCCACGGCCAGGCTGGGCACTGTGCGGCGCGGGCACAAAGCGCCGCGGGTCGTGCCAAGATGCACTTTATCAGATCACCCTTCCCTTTTCACTCCTGCGGCACATTTGCTCCTATTGTGGCCGCCTCCCTTCTACCCGGGTTGTTGTTATGAAATCTCTTTATCTGCATAAGGTTATTGTGCATGTCATTAAAAAAAAAAAAAAGAAGTTATATTGATAAATGTCAAATCTATCCCCTGAGTTGGCTCAACAATAGCTAGTTCTACTCGATGAACTCACCTGGTTCTCTGAAAGACCCTATTCACTGTTTAATTGAATATTTGAATAATCTTTTCATTCCTGCAAGGAATAAAGAATGTTGTCCAAATAACATTGACTCACTTCATTTAGAGACACTGCAGCAGTTGCAAAGACTGTCCTGTGACAAAGCCTCCCATCACACATACAGATATGCCTGGGATTATTTCTATGCCCTCAAGTGTTCTTCCTATTCACAGCTCCTTTTGTTTGGGAGAAGCTGCTGATAAATTGCAAACGCTTAAGGGAATGTGGGCTATAAAAGCCTCTCTTCCTCCCCTCCCCAAGAGTAGCTGCTTCATGAATGTAAGTCATGAAATCGAATGATAGGTCAATCCATTAAGGCTCTATTAAGCCCTTCTGTAGAACAAAGCTAACCTGTGCCGTCCTCATAAATATTGCTATTTTGAGAAGCCCTAATTTTAATTAAATCTCTTTACCTGCTCAGGAGAGAAATCTATTTAGAACTCAAATGGCAGCTCTTGTGAGCGGGGCTTGGCTTTGACTGTGCTGTGGCAGAGTGGTAAATGTGGAAATTCTCTTGTTAAAGGCAATTACATCCTGCACATAATACACAATCCCATCCTCTACAGCTGAGCCTGCGAAGGGCAAATTACTCCAAGTGAGCTCTGCAGTATGGAGAGAAAAAGTTGGATTTGGGGCAAAATGATGTCTGGGAAAATAACGGCTATTTGATTCCACGCCCTCCCGGAAAGCTGCTGCTCCGGGGACGCGGAACCGCAGCCGCGAGCGGCACAAGCGTCGCGGCCGCCGACGCCGGCTGCGCTTGGGGAGATGCTGCTCCCGCTTGTGTGCGGGGCCGGGCCGGGCCAGGGGGCAGCAAGGGCTCGGGGGGGCCCTCCCTGTGCTGGGCCTGTGGGGCAAGAGCCGGGGAAGGTCCTGCCTCAGGGCACGAGCTCCTTGATCCCACAGCCCGGGCACTGTTTGTGCCACACCTTATCACTGCTCGAACCGCAGATTTTCATATCGAATTTCTCTGAATTTCAAAACAGCTCGAGAGGAAAAGAAAGCCGCCGGATGGGAGGGCAGCACGGCTCCCGCGCCCCGACACCCACCCTGCCCAGGCCCCTCGGGCACCCGCAGCCCCTGCTAACGGGGACATATCCCCAGCACATCCCAGTCTAACCAGTGGCTCCCGCAGACCGTACTGGGCCCCTGGGATGGGGGAGTGGATTCCCACTGCCTACAGCGTGTCAGGGCTCCCACTTCACCCATTAACCCAGTGGCAGTGCTGCTCGTGGGGCGGGCTGGCTCCTCAGCGGCGGTGGCGTACGGTGACGCGAACTCTCCCTCAAGCACAAACCACCGAACACACAGCAGGGCCCGCCGGGCGCAGAGTGCTGCTGTGCTTGGCGATGAGGCCCAGAGCCACTGGCAGGACCCCCCCGGATGGGACCCCCCAGATGCTGAAGTGCAAACACGGAGCGAGGCGTTGGGACAGGGACGGGGATGGGATGGGGACAGGGCTGGCCCAGGCTGGGGTCACCGTCCCGGCTTGGCACCAGCACCCGGCGGCTGCAGCGACCCAAACGCAGGTTTCCCTGGGGAAATGCCGGTCCCTGCCCCGTCCGGGTACACACACAGTTCGCAGCCGCCGTCGAGGTGTGGGAAGCGAAGCAGCTGCGGTGGCAGAGCCGGGAGTGCAGCAGCCCGTGAGCCTCCCGCAGGCCCTGCCACCGTCCTCGTGCCGGGAGGTGAGATGGGGACGGGGCTGAGGGAAAGGTGTCAGCACCAGTAGCGAGGGCAGCTGGAGTCCCCGTGGTGCTCAGCACCGCGCACAGCCACCCCACTGAGGGCTGAGGTGGCTCCGGCGGGACTGCGACGGGCACCCCGTCTCGGGGAGAGGCTGGCGGGGGAAGGAGGCACATCCCTGGCCGAGGAGGATGGGGAGATGCTCCCTGCAGGGCAGCAGCTTGGCCAGGGCGGGAGAGGGGCAGGAGCAGGGCAGGGGCAGGGCACAGCCAGGGCAGGATTGGGCCAGGATCTGGGCACGACAATGAGGGCAGAGCCCACAGCTCCAGCGTATTTTGTCTAGGTGAGGCGGGACTGTGCGAGGCGGCCGCCTGGGCCTGACCGCAGGCTCCGGGGCTGAGCCTAACCCGGAGCCACACACAGCCCCTGCCGCTGACGCAAACCCCGGCAGATAGGCCCGTCCCCGGCTGCCGCCTCCCTCAAGGCGCCTGTTTTGCCGCGGCCATATCAGCCGGTTGTTTCCCTGCCCGGTGCGACGGGTGAGCGACCAAAACAGGCTCCGTTTGGCTAACGGTGGCAACGTCCCCCATGGCTGGAGGCAGAGCCCGGCCCCGCAGCGGGGAACATTTCCAAATTTCCAACCCCCTGTCAAGGCGGAGAAGCCGGCAGGTCCCAGCTGCTCTTTAGAAGCCTCTTCCCAGGCTGTGCACCCCGACACCCCAGAGCAGCCTGGCCGGGACCCCGAGCGCGGCCACCCACCAGCAGCGCGGCTCTGGGTGTCTTTCAGGTGGGCGACCAGATGAAGCTGCTGCAGAACTGCTGGAGCGAGTGCAGGTGCAGGACGAGCTCCTGCGCCCGCAGCACCAGCGTGTTGAGGATGGAGCCGGCCTGGGCCGCGATGGCCGACATGTCCACCTGCAGGGACGGGGACGGCATCAGCCGTGGTGGCCCCAGTCCCCCCCAAACCTGCTGCAGGGGACCCCACGCACCAGCCCAGAGCACTGACCAAGAATTAGGGGTGTCAAAACAAAGGCTGAGGGGTTTCTCCAGGGGGGCCCTTTGCAGGATGGTGGCATCACAGGCACCTACATCTCCAGAAGCCACCCCCAGAGAGGGAAGGGGCCCCCTCCTCATGTCCCACCTCTGCAAATACAGGTGTGAGGGCTGATCTTTCCATGAAAAACTTTCCTCCAGAACCAGGAGCTGGATAGCAGGATGGGATGGGACAGCACGTGATGGGATGGGATGGGATGGGATGGGATGGGATCTTTGCACAAGCAGTCCCATAGCGCAGCAAAAACAACTCGTCCCCCCCTCCAGCCCCACCACCCGGCCCCCACCTCCACGCCGCGGTCTCTGCGGGCCAGCGCTCACCTCCTGGCCGGTGACCAGCAGCACGCTGTGCTCCTTGCCGTGCTGCAGCTGCCGGTAGACGTGGTCAAACACCAGCAGCTCGCTCCAGCAGTTCTGCAGCAGCTTCATCTGGTCGCCCACCTGAAAGACACCCAGAGCCGCGCTGCTGACACCCATCGCACCGGGACACGGCCGTGGGGGCGGGTGATGTCCGCACCAGTGTGTTCCCAGCTGGCAGGAGGGGCCCTCCAGACCCCCAGCTTCACATTCGAGGGGCGGCTCCACGCTCCAGCCCTGTGATACCGACAGCTCACACTCACACCATCAGCCACGATGGCATGTTGCCACATCAGCGTGGACCTGGGCAGGATTCGCCCTCATCTGTGCCTCACCCTGAGCACAACAGAAAGGGAGTTTCTAGGAGACTGGCATCAGTGTGGAAAAAAAACAATTTTCACTGCTCAAGCACCCGGAGGTAGTGTCATCAGTGCTGCTGCATGAAGCAGAGAGAGGCTGAGGCCTTCTGCCACCAGCATGGGCAATGCCTTGGCACGGACACGGCATCAACATGACGTCTGGAGATGGGACAAACCCCTGCGTCCCCCTAAGAGCCCTGGTGACCTGATGTACAGAGACTCGCCCAGCCCCAGCACTGCTCTGAGCACGTGTTTGCTCGCCAGCCCATCGCGGGGGGTGCAGGGGGCATCACCCCCTCCCTCAGGAACCCAGCTCCTCCGGGTGGGACGGGACTTGGTCCTCCAGGACTTTGTCCCTGACCCTCGCAGCCTGGCAAAAGCCCCATTTTTTTAAGAACCTGAATCCTTCCTCACCCTCACTGCCTGCAGAACATTCCCCAAAATCTCCACACACACATTTACACGTGGAAATTTCAGTCTGACTGTGAACAACCTCCTAGCGAGGAGATGCTGCATCTGATTAATGAAACACTAATTGCAAAGCCCTGCCCTGGCTCCTGGTTCCCACGTCCTCCCCGCTGGTGTGGAACTGGGCTGGACATCGTGCCCCACTTCATTTCACCGCTGGCATCCCCCGCGCCTCCTCCAGCCCCCTCTCTCCATGCCGGCGGGGAGGAGAGGACGGCAAACCCCAACGCACCGCACTGGTTAGTGTCTACAGGGAGGGTTTGCAACCCCCAGCACCCCGCAGCCGGGCTGCACCCCCATGCATGGCACCCGCCCCTCGGGGGGGCAGCGAGCCCTGGAGCTGCACCCCCAGCACAGGGGACCCCGGGCTGGAGGAGAGGAGATGGGCCAGGCAGCTGGGCAGCGCTTTGAAGCAGCTCAGTGTGTTTCGGTGGCACTTGCTGGCTCTTATCAGCACAGGTTTTCCCCCCACCAGGCACAACCTCCCTGAAGAGCGCAGAAATCTTTAACAAAATGACTGCTGGCCGCGTCCCGGGGTGGGAGGGAACAGCTGCTGCACAAAAGGCCCTGTGTCTCCAGGCAGCCCCTCTGGATACTTTAAAATGAAAGAAGACAGTATCCAGCCTTGCCTCCCCGCCTGGGATGGCAGGTTTGGGCAGGGGGGCAGAGCGGCACGGCCGCGGGGGAGCTGCCGGCCACGGGGCATCGCCGTGCCCTGCCGCTGCCAGGTGGGGCCCTGCCCACGCAGCAGCACACGCGTGATCACGCGCACGTTTCCACGTGTGCTGGTGTGTACGTGCAGGCACAGGTACAAGCGTCCACATTTGCAAACAAACGCCCGCAGTTGCCTCTGGCAAGACGATCAACCCAGGACACAAACTGCAAAGACCCCCAGAGGCCTCGCGGAGAAGCCGCTGGGCTGCCAGGGACGGGCAGGACGAGCTGCCAGCACCAGCAGCGCCTGCGCTGGGCAGAACCAAGAGCCCTGGCAGGTCCCTGTGCCCGGAGCCATGGCAGGACACGGGACACGCTGCCGTCCTGGCCCGGGCAGCAGGCACGAAGCACCCCGCTGCCCTCCCCACCACCCTGCCATGGGCTTCATCCCCTCGGCGCTGCTCTCCGCGGGACCCCAACTCCTTTCTGCAAAGCACCAAGGCCCCACCCTGCCCGGAGCCCCCCTCTCCTGCAGGGCTGATGTAGGGGAAGGGCTGGGGGTTATCACTAATACTTCCCCGCAGAGCAAATTCAGCGCCAGCAGAAGAGCTCTGCAGAGCCATTGTGCTCGCTGCCTTTAATAGAAGGAAGACAGATGCAGTATCACCGGACTGGATAATACCCTCATTTTGCTGAAGAGGCTGCAATAAACCAGTGCTGGGAGATTGCAAAAGGAATAGAAGTCAGATGAGAAAGAGCTTTATGGTCTTGGAGCCCAGCACTCCCCGAGAGCCACTGGGATTTGTTTCTCAAGTGCGGTGGGTGGTCAGAGCCGGACGCAGCAGCACGGGGAGGGAGATGCGGCGCAGAAGGCAGCGACAGCAGCCTGGGCTGCGGTGCCTGCGCCTGCCCGATGGCACAAACCCCACCAGCAGAGAGGTGCAAGGGGGCTGCCAAGGCCACATGGCCCAAACCAGCACAGGAGCCACGGCCCGCGGCCCAGCAGTTCGGCTGCTGAACAAAGAAGCGGGGGAAAGCATTTTCTGCATCAAAACAAAATGGAGATTTTCTGCGTTCATGCTGACCTCCGCCCCAAGGCGAGTGGCTGGCTGTGACGGTGGCCAGCCCGCGCAGCACGCGGCCAGCCCAGCCCGCCCGCTGCTGAGCTGCTCCGCGC